TCCCATTTATTTCTTTCCCTCTGTTCCTTCATTTTCATAGATCTGCTATTAGTTAGTCATTGTCCCTAGTGTGTTGGCAAATTTCTTAAAAGAAATCAAGACCATTTCATTTATTTCTTGTCTTATGCAGATGTTTTTCTTCATTGGTTCTTCATGCTCAGTTTGTTTCCTTCTAGTAGCAATGAGTTATGATTGGTGCTTTGCAATATATAAGCCTTCAAACCCATTCTCATGAACCCCAAAGCCTGTACTGATGTGGTGGCCTTTTCAGCACTAATTGGGTTTGTGCTGTCTCTAAGAGAGACATCTTCCATATTTAACTTAAGTTTCTATGGCCATAAGATTAACCTCTTCTTTTGTGACATGGCACTTGTGATTATATGGCTTGCATGGACAGCAATGGAACCGAACTTTTCATGTTCAGTCTTAGCATGTTGGTTATATTTGGCTCATTCCTATTGATGCTGCTTTCTTAAGACTTCATCGTAAAGAAAATTCCCTCTACTGAAGAGAAGCAAAAAGCTTTTCCTAAGTGCTTTTCTCATCTTGTTGTGGTGCTGTGCATTTTGAATGTGTCTCCATGATATATTTGATGCCCAAATCCAGATCTACATTGGATGAAGACACTTTTCTTTGTTACTTATACTGTAATGACTCCCTTTTTAAACTCTGTACATTATAACCTGAACAAACGACAACATGCAGCTGGCCCTTCGGAAGACCCTTGGCACATTCAGGGCTCAGTTAGAAAGCTAATTTAACCCCTTGAGAAGTCCTCGCCCAATCCAGCAGCTGACAGCTTCATGGAAAGAAAAGGCTATGATATCAACTGCATCATGGGAGAATCTTGCCTACTCAGTGTCTTCTGCGAATTAAGTGCTCCTCAGGAATCATTCTCATGCAAGAAAACCTTCAGTGAACAGAGGCTGGTAGAAACATGACTTCAGAAATCCATACAGGATAGCAGCATTTGCAACTGTCCTTCCTAGGCATCTGCTTGAACACACCGTTTTTGTCCCATCTAGAATGCAGTCTTTCTAGGATGTCCACGTCCTTATGGTTGTTTTTAGGAAGTGATTAGGAGAATGCCAATACCATCAGGCCTGCAACAGGCATCAGTATGGTGATAACCAGTATGTTTTATCCATCTGTCTCAGATGTTCCCCTGTAAACCACTGAACGCATCCTGCTTTCTCCAAATCTTCCTGACTGAAGAAGTTGTTTTGACATGTGTTGTATGGTCAGAACAATATGTTTGCTTTATGGTCCTGATTAGGTTGTGGTAATCAGGGGCAGGGATGCCCAGCAGGTATCTTGGACAGTCCAGATCATGATTTGCATACTTTATTATCACATTCCTCATCCCTCCCATTCTGCACCACAATCTCCTCCCATATAAAGAACCTGCCCCCTTTTTCTCACTAATCCCTGTTTTACTACATCTGTTACCTAATTTGAGATTTATGATACTGTTATCTAGGCAATTTTGGCTCTGTATGGTGTTACTCATATAACCAAACTATGGTTGGCCTTGCAAAATTCTTGCCACCAATACCTCCCTCCAATTATCTGTGAAGTGCAATGATTTCTCACATAAACTGCCCCTTAACAATCTGAGAAATCCAGCCATTCTTCATGGTGTTGACTGTAACCTTTGTCAGCCTCTCACACTGTTACTTGCCATATTGGGCAAATTCTCATGCCATGGCCTGTAGTTTCCTATGCCTTGGTTGGTTAGTTTAACCTCAGGGTAGGGCATAGTCAGGAGCCTACATGTGCCTGCAGCCCTAGCACTTGCCGTGGGAGTATTTCAAACACAAATGCAGCCCCAAAAAACCACTCTTAGAAGAGGCAGCACAGAGAGTTCACCAGGTCTGCAATCTGAGGAGGCAGCAGAGGAAAAGGTTTTTTAGCTTCCTCCCAAACCAATGTCACAGAATTCTTCCCAATTCTTCCTGAAAACTGGATTTCCCCCTTTCTCCATTGCATAAATTCTGCTGGGTTTGGTGTTCTCCTTCATGTACTTGTCTCCTCTCACCGGCCATATCCATACGGTGGTGATAATAAGGGTTGATTGTTCTCTCCATTTCTCCATGTACTTCCCCTCTACTCTCTGCTTCTCAGAGACAAAGTATACCTTTGTCATTGTCCCCAGTATGCTAGTAAATTTGGTAAGAAAGCAAAAGGTCCTTTTCTTCACCCAACATGCTATCCAGATGTGGTTTTTCCCTTGGCTTTTGATGCATCAATTGCATGATCCTAGCATCAGTGATATATGATCGTTATGCCTCAGTCTGTAGGCCCTTGCACGTCATCATAAGCGACAGGTTCTGCATTCTGCTGGCAACTTTTTCAGCGTGGACTGGGTTTCTGTTCTCAGTTCTCTGTTCTCATGCATTATTTATCTTTCTGCAAGTAGAATAAAACCAACTACTTCCTCTATGATTTGGCACCACTTCTTAAGCTTGTGTGTGCCAGGAGCTGTCTAGATGAAATGGTCATTGTTATAATTTGTGTTTTGGCTGCATTCTGCTCTTTCACTTGATTCTGCTCTTTTCCTTCTAATTCTCAACACCATCCTGAAGATCCCTTCCACTGCAAGAAGGTGGAAAGCCTTCTCCATTTGTGCATCCCACTTTACTGTGGTTATTAGCACTTTGGGTGTGCCTCCATCATCTACTTGAAGCTCAAATCCAAGGTACACCCTGAATAAGGATGTTGTGATTTCTGTCACCTACACAGTAATAACTCCCCTGCTGAAGCCATTGTAGTACAGTCTGTGGAACAAAAATGTGGAAGATGCTCTTAGAAAAAGCTTTCTTGTGAAAAACAAATCTTTGGGGTCCATGAAATTTATCATGCAGTGAAGTTGAGAAACCTGTACAGCTGGAAAACCTGTATTTCAGCTAGCTGAGAGGTGTGATAAAGTCTTTTTCCTGACTAAAAGGCTTGAGACAAACAAAGGAAGAAGCTGGATGGGGACGGCAGAGAAGCGGTGTAGTGGAAATGGGCAGCACAGACCCACAGTGGTCTTCACAGTGTGGGTCAGAAGTAGCAGTGGGCAGCTTTCCATCTGCGGAGTATCTGGGGAGGGGAAGCATCAGCTCCTGCATCCACACGGCCTGAGACACAGCAAACAGGTAAAGCAGAGCTGTTTAGGCATGTTTAGAGGCTAATTCATGTCTCACAGATAGGCATCCTGCATGACTGATGCAGAGTGTTGCCAGGTAGGTGTTGTACTACTGCTGTGCCCCCTAGGTTGAAATATAAGGCATAGCCTCCTGGAAATGGTTAATTTGTGTGATTAAAGGCTCATCCGCACAAA